AAAAGATATTTTGTCCTCTTAAAACTAAAAACAGCTGTCTTTTCTTGAGGCATTCCCTTATGGATCCTTAATTCCTGTTGAAGGGTTTCCTTGAGGTTTTTCAGAATATGAACCGTAACATAATACAGCCAGATTGCTTAGAGTCACCTCAGTTGCCCCATTTACAACCCRTGCATTCTTCCCATTTGTTAGTACAATTTGCCAGAATCATTTGCAATGCTGCAGAAAAGCCTTACTGCTCTTTATGATGGCACAGGCTGCTACCTTCCCAGACAGGTTTTTCCAGCACCACTACCACCTGTTTACATGGAAAAAGTTCCATTTTTGTGTTATCTTTGTCCTGAACTAAAATCCGTCACTGGCTGGAAACACAGAATTCAGCGTTATACAAACAGCCAGATGCCCACAAGTCATTACATCTCCAAGCCATTGAAACTATGTCTGAAAAAACACTGTCTTGAAGAACCAACAGAGCTGGAGAAGGACACCACAGCCACTAGCCGTACTAGGGCAGTTAGTAGCAGTTCTGTAAGGACAACAAACCTACAGTTGTTCAGTAATATACTTATAGATGAAGTGCTTTACTAAAAAAAAAAAAAAAAAAAAAGTGATTCACACTTATAATGTGGCAATCAAAAAATAGCAATGCTGGTCACCAACCAGATCAGTTCCTGCAGATGTAAACATTACTGGGAGAATCAGGGGCCAAAAGCAAATCCACACAAATGCTTCAAATGTTATGAAATGTACATCACAAACATTGCCACTGTCACTATGAATCATGCAAGATTATTCGTCTCACAAAAGTAACCTAATTCCTGTTTTATTCTGTTCTTTTTTTTTCTTAAAGCTTCCCTAAGTCATTTACTTCCTATTAAAAATTGACATATTAGTCACTGACCAAACAAAACACAGCCTGCGTACAGTTATACAGATTAAATTTGTGGTCTGCTACGCAATCAGTCATCTTCCCTTGGATGTACATTTCATTATCAAGGCTCCAGTGTGCCATCTGGTGGATTTTTAGTTTTCTCTCTCTCCCTGTATATATATAAATATATATATATATATATATATATTTTCTTTTTTTTCCTAAAAAACAGAACTAGTGATACAGAAACATCTGATCACCTGATTTAATGACTGGAATATCTACCTTTTTTGTTTTGGTTTGGTTTTTTGATCAATGTCTTGTAGTATTTTTCAGTTTAGCATCCCATATCTGCTCAAGTTGAGATTGTACATTTAATTCCTTTCGCATTTCCAAGCAAATGAGGTTTTACTCACTTGATTTTACATTTACATTTACAATATATCTTCACCTAATCCTTTACATTGATTTCACATATAACTGCATTGTGTCGCTCTCAAACTTTCTCCTTCTCTCTCAAAAGAAAGAAAAAAAAAAGATWCCATCAATTCCAATTCCATTGAAGTAGCCTAAGCGAATTCCCTATTTATGTCCACGTGGTCATTTAGATGCTTAATTCTCACTGATTAAAAATGTTACGGTTAGTTTATTTCTATTTGGGATGAGGKCCAATGATGTTGAAACAAGTTTATCATCACAGAATTTTAAATAAACTTGAGTTTGGCTATAGCTCCTTCAGCCTGCCAAGTATTACAGCAACAACTGTCATTAAAAATAATGCAGCTCTGAAAAATGCAGAAGCAGATAAAATACTTGAAAAATAAAATTCTGACCATGAATTACTGGGATATTTGCACAAGAGTTTCTAATCTAGACAGCATTGACATACTTCTGGATTTCCTTTTTAATACAGAGCAGGAGTTGTATGATGCCTGGGACAGATGCTGCTGTGAAGTGTAGAGTCCTTTGATGACAAGGCCCTGTTAGGAAGCCTCTCTCCTGCTCCACATAGTACCACAGCACCCTTCCACCCTGCATCAATGCAGAGAGCTCGACCACAGCTAAGACTTCCAGGGTTTTAATGCTAGATGGAGGCTGCCCTCTGAGTGAGCGAGCTGCGGCAACCACGAAAGCTCATGAATGGYCACTTGTATGAGGCTCCTACACAACATATGACAATAATTTGCAGGTMTAGAGTGAGGATGGCAATGACTGCACTTAGGAATACAAGAAAAGACCAGCTGAGAGGTGCTGGACATGTCGTTGTTGATGAATCTCCTCACTGGAATCTAGCCTTGTTTCCATAAAGAGAAAACAAGACAAACACTGAAATAAAACAGAAGGCAAAAGAGGGCAGCAGTGGTTGAAAATGTAGCTTTTGTTTCTGGTCCTGACTGCTACTGGCAACCTGACTGCTGAGAGGAATTCAGGCTCAGCACAGTTTTAGCAGCCACTGTGTGAGCTGGCAAATGTATCAACCCTGAGCTGCTGAAGACAGTGTTTTCTATTGCCTTTTTGGACACAGGCTTGTTGCAGTGCTGTAAAAAAAAAAAAAAAAAAAGTCAGGTAAGACTGTATGTTCTAAGCTAACAGTCAGAAATAAAAAGAAGATACACAACTAAGGTAGAAAGGACAAAGGGGGAATTTAGGTATGCCAGGACTTAGATATTACAGTACAGGTGCTTTTCAGAACTAGAATATAACCAGATAAAGTAACAATAGCATTTAGAGTCCTCTCTTTAGTCACAGCATCTTTTATGATCACTATATATATAGGCCCAAGAGCCTTATGATGAGTGTAAAATCTCTAGCAGACACCAAATCAATATGCCTTCGGTTCAGGGAGGCTTTACTGCTTTAGCAGTGCCATCTTCACTATATGTTCAGGCAAAGAAAATCTGTTGGTGCTGTGGTATTTGAACAGTTTCAAAGGCTTTTGCCTTACTGTTTTATAGGGAGTGGGAGGATTTCTGATATTTGATAAGAGACGCTATTAAAGAGCAGGAGTATTTCTAAAGCCTCCACAATATAAAGTTTCAGTACCTTAATTAGAAATGATATATCAAACATTTCGTTCAATAACTCCTCATGTGGATTCAATATATTTTTTATAGTGAACATTAACTAGTACAAGCTAGGCTGACATAACCTCTATTAAAATCAAATTTGATTTAAAATCAATTGGATTTAAATCAAAGAAAGAATGACTTTTCAAGAGGTTGCACCAATGTGGTCAAATCCTTACATGATCAAATCTTAAAACAGAACTGAGCAACTTGGTGCTTTATGAAATCTGGCTGATCTTCTCTGGACAAAATTTGTTTTTACTAGCTAACCATGAATTCCATTAGTTATAAAAGAACAAGCTTATTTTTTTCCYTCTACTACTGCAGCCTGGTTTGTAGGTTATTTTTGTATGTAGTGCACCTGCATACCTTTTTGTGACTTTTGTAAGTTTTATCTTTCCTCTTCTGCATTTTAATACAAATTTAATAAACTGCTAAAAAAACCCCTCATAATCAAAAATTAGAGTCAAATCCTAGCAAGAGAAAACAATTCAATTTTCTTTACATTCTCATAGCGTAGAACAAGATATAGACTTTATATATCTTTTTATATTGATTCATTATATATATATAATTAATTTTTTAGCAATAGTCAAACTCTATCCAACCTTTGTAACACAATCTTTTGTCTAAATTACTGAATGCCTAATATATATATGACAGGCAATTGTATGTGTGAAAATGGCCCTTATATGCTAAACCCTTCATTTGAAAAGATTACTTTGACCACTGAGACTTAGAGATAAAAAAGAGTGTGGTTAAGGGTATAGCAATTAAAGATATATGCCATAGCTTATGGATATAAATTTATACATTCCTAGTTGCCTCTATAGATTATCACATCTGTTGTTTTCTCTTGGAATGCAGAAATGTGGGAAAGAAAGAAAAGAGCAACTATCTATAAGAATTCAGCTGACTATAATACCTTAGTCCTATATATCCAGAGTACTTTGATACTGAAATTAAGAGTTCATGTTTTCTTAACTGCTGGGTGCCTATTACTTTTACTGAAACCCAAAACCTCGAGGTGGGAGCACACCTCGAGATGATMTATACACATGAAGAACTTCTATACTTGAAGTTGTGACTTTTATTACAATTAGATGCCCCTAAACTTCAGATGTCATAACTTTCTGAACTATCCAGTGGGAAACAAATCAATCAAGGTGCCATTGTAAAAATAAATAAATATTTAAGGGGGTAAAATTCAAAACTAGGATTAACCTTAAAGATCAAAGGCCATCAAAGTTGATTTGGGAACAGAATTCGGAAGACGGAACTAGGTCACACTTGCACTACTTTCGCTTTGATCCAGCACCATCAAACCAAATCAGAGGGACCTTCCCCGTTCTCCCACTCCACTTCTTTGAGGCACCGAAAACCGACCCCGCCAACGGCCGCCGCCAACGGCCGCCGCCAGCCCCGCCCCCGTCGCCTTGGAAACCGAGTCCAATGCCCGCGCGCGCGCAACCCGCTCTCCCTCGGCCCCTCCCACAAAATTGTGACATAAGCCCCGCCCCGGCAGGGCCTGAGTGACGGCATTTCCGGTTTTCTGAGAGGGCGGTCCGAGCGGCGGTTTGGTTTGATGCTGGTCGGCGCGCCGCTCTCCGCGGGGATGCGTCACTTCCTCTCCCCGCCTGCGGAAGGGCGGGCGCGTCGCGTCATCGCGGCGCGACGAGGCGGAGCCGCCGCCGCGCGCGGGGCGCCGCTCGTGGCAGCCGGAGCAGCCGCGGCCGCCGCACGATGGCCGGGGCGGGGGAGCCGCCGGCGCCCGCCCGCCCGCTGCCCTGCGCCGAGATCCCCTCGTTCGCGGCGGCGCGCGGCCTCGTGGCGCGCCGCTACTCGTGCCTCGTGGTGACGCCGCGCCGCCGGCACGTCGCGCTGCCGCCGCGCTTCCTGGGCCGCAAGCGCAGCGGCATCCGCGCGCAGCTGGACGCCGAGCTCCTGCGCTACTCGGAGAGGTGCGGGCGGGCTCGGGGTCGGCCTGGGCCTGCCCCGGGGTTGGGGGCTGGCGACCACCCCGCCAGCTCGTCCCTGACGGCTTCCCTCCTTGCAGCCTTCAGGGTGTGCCCGTGGCGTACGACAACATCAAAGTCGTGGGCGAGCTCGGGGACATTTACGATGACCAAGGGTTCATTCACCTCAACATCGAGGCGGACTTCATCATCTTCAGCCCAAAGAAAGGGAAGAAACTGGTGGTATGTAGAGGTTACTGCCTCGCAGGGCCTGTTTGCCTTAAGTAATGAAAACTTAGCTTGCCACAGTGACAAAGGGGTAAGGAGATTTGGCTACTATTGTAGTAGACACTTTCATAGTCTGTATTTCATGTCCCTCAACTTATTAAACGCCAGTGTTTCTTTCTAAGGAGCAGATAATTCCTAAACACTTTGCTTTATTCTAATGTAATAGTAACAGGGATGTGTTGTGCTTTCAAGCTTCCTCAAGTACAAGAGCAGCACACTTTAGTAAGCCTGCATGTCAGCAAAGAAGTAGTGCATGACTCATGGGAGAACTTTAAGCTTGTTAACACCCTTATGCCAGTACTTAAGGGAATAGTAAACTGAGAGTTATTTTTTTTTGTGCTATGTTTCAAAAAGTATGACTTGTACTTCTCTATGAATCTAACTAAGATGTGCTTGTGTTCTTTTCATGGGAAGAAAATGGAAAAGCCTTCTGTGTAGTTCATCTCTGGGGAAAGTGGAGGTAGATAATGTTAAATATGCAAATGACACCAACAGAAGAAGAGTGCTCAAAGACTTCCTGTTATCTGTACTGCAAATATGATAGTACTCTTAGATGTTTAAATCAGGCTTAAAATGACCTTAAAACAATGTTGGGCACTGCAATGTAGGAAAGATTTTTATCTTTAAAGAAAGTTATTATTGCTAAAACTGTGGCTATTTTGTTTTGCATCATTTTGAAGACAGTTCAGTCACGTTCTGAAGACAGTTTCAGTCTTTAATTTGAGTAAAACTGTGTGAAAATAGTTTTGGAGTAACTTTAGGAGTAGCTAAGGAATACTTTTGGTTTTTGTGTAGAAAAGTTAATGTGTGAAGTTAGCTTATTTAGCAAATAACCTGCGTGAAAAGTGTTGTTCAAACGTGTCTATATGTAGTTGTACACTGTGTATCTCTCTTTAAGAGATAATCATTAATGTATCTTCATATAATTCTTTTCTGTTTTTTTTAAGGGTGTAATTAATAAARTAGCTCCTAGTCATATTGGCTGTCTGATACATGGATGCTTCAATGCTTCTATCCCTAAACCTGAACAAATGTCAGTTGTGCAGTGGCAAGAGTTGGGGTTAAAAATAGGGGATGAATTGAAGTTTCAAGTATTGCACTTAGATTCTGATGCAGCTGGAGTGTTCTTCATTCGTGGAGGACTGACTAAAAACAGGTATTGTGATGTTCAAGGGGCATTTTTTTTTAACTGCTTGATTTGATTTGTAACAAACTAAATGCTTCAAATTCCTTAGTCYTTAAAATTCCTTGTTTTCACACAACCCAGGCTATATATAAGCATCGGCTTATCTTAAAGTAAACATCTTGTGTTGAGGACTTGCACAGAAATTTTCTCTTAAAAATAGATCTTTTTTTTTTTTAATGCTCACATCGTAAGTGTGCCAAACTGTGGATTATTTATTGCGAAATTGCTACATGTTTGGAAAAAGAAAAATCGTTGCTGTCTAGCATAGCTTTGGTTTGCCTAAACCAAAGCTAGGCTTTTCAGGTAATAATGTTCTCTTTTCTGAATATGTATTTGTGGCAATACCAGAATAAACATGTAAATAGATGCTTTAAATGCTTTTGGAAAAAAAACAACTAGTGAAAAAAATACATCACTTTTCACTTGTAACGTGGTTGTAGAGAAAGACTAGCTATTCAGAGCCATTTCCTAGAAAAATCTTAGAAGCAACATCTTTGAGAGAAACAATTTTTAAGGTCATTTGGTGAGTAGTTGTTTCTACCAACATGCTTATATTTGTCTGTAAAATGCAGTATAAAGATTGCTAAGGCAATAATAATGCTTTTGGAGATCAATTGGCTTTTTTTTCTGTTGGATCTGCAAATATTCTCTGTGTGTTTTAGTGAATTCAGTATGAAACTTACTGGTTTTATCTCCTCTACTTCAAGAAGAATCCACTTCTGTACAGTTCTAACTTATTTCTTTCCTCACTAGTCTCTGTCATGTTTGATTTTTAGTGGTCACTATCTGCAATTTGGTGAAAAACTTAAACAAAAAACCCTCTACTGCACAATGTGGAAGTATGCAGAATTATATAATCTGAGATATAGTAGTGGATAGATAGGATCCTATCAGAATGGTATTGCAATAAGAAAGAGGTAACATAAATTAGTCTGATATTGTTTGATAACTAGAATATCATACTCTCCGTTCATTGTAGCAGATCTTTTTTGTGTCTAGTGAAAAGACAGCTTGACATTTCACCATGCAAGGTGTCCTTAGATTTTTGGCTTATTTTCTATATTTCTCTACAGTTTGAAGCCCAAAAGATCTGAGACGGTCACTGATGGTGGTGCAAATGGAGATGAAATTCAAAATGGAGATGAAATTCAACAGCCTGAATACAACGAAGGAATACAAGAAAATGGTTTGATTGACCCTGGGGGAGAAATTGTTTCAGAATTGCCTCTAGATGATACAGATAATACTGCGAGGGAAAATGCAGAAGAACAAACAGTTGATGCTGTAAATGGAATATGTGAAGATAAAAGCAAGAAGAAGAAAAAGAAAAAGCATAAGCAAGAACAGGAAYGTGTATTGCCTACCAGTGACTCTAGTGGTTACCAAAGTGACCATAAAAAGTCAAAAAAAAAGAAAAGGAAGCATTGTGATGAAGCTGAAGAAACTGAATTACTCCAACTGTCACAAGAACCCAAAGCTAAGAAGAAAAGGGACTAAAGTCTGAAGTGCCTTTCTTGAATAAGTTTTCAGACATTTTTGGTAAYTTTAAATAAAATCATATTTTCAAAACGTGTATGGATTTCCTTACTAAACAACCCGCTGTGCTGGCTTAGCTTATGTTTGTGTGTGTGTGTGTGTGTGTGTGTGTGTACACACCAAGAAATGTAAGGGCAGAAGCTTTTAAAGATGTGATAGAAATCTCTTCTACTCTAATCTTATGTTTGCTGTTCACTGACTTTATAAGATGGATAAACGAGTCTGTCTGTTAGAGGTCCAAGAAACACCTGAATTCCCATCTGTAGATCCTTAGTCCTTAGGATTGTATCATTGCTATTGCAACTAATGTCCTGAAAAGGTAAACTTATTTTAAGTAACTTTTYTTATCAAGTTTTTATTATGATTTTAGAAATTGGCTGCAAATACCTGTAGAAGATGGTATATCACTTAAAGATTAAGCAAACTATGCATGTCTTAAATCTTTTGAAATAAAGCTTTCATTTGGTACTACTTTAGGTGGGAAACTGGTTGGAAAACTTGCTTAAAAAAGTAGGGAAGAGATGCGAAGATTGGTGTAATCCAGAAGTTTGAGAGCTGTGTTGTGATGAGGTCTAGGCAAATTCTGTAATTTCTGCAATGAAGAATTACCTACTGTAAGAAGATCCCAYTAGCTGTTCCAAAGGTTTGTAAATACACAGCATATTTGTAGAAAYTTGCAAGTCATCTGTGTTTTCTGGGTGGTCTCAGACAACAGACCTTGCAGTAGTGATTGTGCTGGTTCAGCTCCCTTTGCTGAACATGTTCTGGATTTAAAATCCTCCTTTTATGAGTTATTTTCTGTTATACTAAAGAAATTAAAGCTACTACCTACTTACCTTCTGGAAGTTTTGAGGTTTTTGTCTTGTAGGCTTGATGGTGCATATACTGTACCATATACCATAAATATACGAATGTACCATAAAGAACTATATTAAGAGGTTTTTTTTTTTGGAGACCTTTAAGGTCAGTCTAAATACACTTGTAAGGACAGCAGTAACTTCAGAGCATTGTTCTGTTATTTTATAAAGTCTTGCATTTCAGCACACTTCCTGAAACAAGTGCAGGATAGTCTTGAGATGAACATGATTGTCCCTTTTGCTCTGTTGCTTTGCTATGTGGAGTTACAGTAATATTTAGACTAGAAGCATCATCGTTATTTCCTGGGACTGTGCCATCTTCCTTCATCCCCGTCCCCCCCCTAAAGGGCACTATTTACTAAATGTATCTGTTCTATTTAGCTTCAAGGTCAACTGAGGACAGTACTGTTACAAAAAAAAGTCTTTTTTTTTAAAAAAAAAAAAGCATCTTGAAGGTCTGACTATACAGGATGCGTTGAAATTTGGACCTAATCTAGAATCAAATGTTTGTGGCTTTTTTTGTTGTTGTTTAAGTGCCTTATAAGAAGAAGATGGGCAGATGTGAATGTAAGTGGGAGAAGGATAGTAAGTAAGAAATTTTGGGCTTGTAGGAAGAGAAGGGTGACAACAGTTGCAATTGCAGATTAACCAGTGACAGAGTGTTTGATATCAATTACATCGTTACAGCTCATTWTTGCTTTCAAATGAAATCAACCTCCGGTAGAGCTGCTGCTAGTAATTGCAGTGTGATTCATGCCATGCCAGCCAGTTTACCGACCGATTCTATAGCACCAACCATTTGTCTTGCTACTCTTTCTTCAATGTGGAGAAGGGTGAGGTTCAAGGAAAAACTGAAGTTGTAGATAATAGTCAAATAATRTAGGCAGTAAAAATGTTTTCTTCACTCTGAATTCTTTTGTCTAATTTTGCTGCTTTTAGCATTTGTGCTTTTCTTATTGAAAGAGAAAATTGGTTGCTATAATCTCACATCCTGTGAACAGACTCTTTGAGGTATTAAGCAACATTTTGAAAGTCTTAATAAAACTGTCTCAGCTCTAGACCTTACATTAAGCCAGCATTTTTTGGCACATAACTGTGGCCAGCACTTCTTGTTTGTTTATTTTCTTTCCTTGGCTTAAAACAGAAAAAGGCAATTAAGAACAATTTCAGTGCAGAAGCTGACAATTTATGATTCCTAAACTCACTATTGCTCCAGTGACCAATTAGATTCATACCAAATGAATGCGAAAATAGCAACTGTGCTATGAAACAAACTTTTGCAATTGTCAGGCAAAGGAATCTGCATAGTAGTTGACTGATATCTGTCCGTGGAGGAGGGAAATGAAGAAAAGATTTAGGAAAAAAAAATCACAGTTGGAGATAATATTGGCAGCMTCATAGTTGCACTGTTGATATTGTAGTAAACACTGCTTTGGATTAACTAAATATGACAAACTCAGAACTTTCTGAAGTGAATTGTCRCTACATTCCTAGCTGAATCTTTTTTTATTTCTTTTTTTAAAAGTTTTTTAATATTTTAAATTAGCAAAAGGAAAAAAGGCAAATATAGATACTTTTCATTAGAGTTTCACTTATCAGTATGAAAAGCTTAGTTTTCTGTGTTCCCCTAAACTACAAGTGAAAAGTTTTATTGAGTTTTGAGTTGATTTGAATATAGAGAAAAAACATCTGTAAAAATTCAAGTGAGGYTAGGTGCTTTCATATTTGTTTGCATAACCTTTTGTCAGACAGCGTTCGAGAACAAGTCAGTTATATGYCTCATTTAGCAAAGAGGGCTAGAATATGAAATTTTATTTTCTGTTCTCTCTCTTAAATGACCTAGAGAAAATGTATGCTGTGTTTTCCTGTTTAACATTAATGAAGTCTGCAAGGAAGTCAATATGCAGCCCTGTCTGTGGTAAATATTCTGCAGATGTTTTGTCTGTATTATAAAAAAAATGCAATTTCAACTTACCAGCTAAAATTAAGGATACTAAAGAAGAGACTGCTTCTTCATAATATTTTGGTTGTGTAAACTCAGTTCAGCAAAGCATTGCATGCCTTTGGCAGAAGGGCAAGAGCTCATACAAGAAAGTATTTTTAACTGACTTTAACAGTTGTGTTTTGTGATCGCTGAAGCTTGCAATGAAATGCAGTATTAACTTTTGCTCTTCACCCTTGTCTTACATGGAATTTGTTTCTACAAGAATGCTTTTTTTTTTTTTTAGCTTGGCAATTTTCTGCTTTTTAATTATACCTGAACAGCTGAATGAATGAGCTCTAGGGAAAGGATTTCTAAAAGACCTAAGCAAGCTAGCTGTCTTTGGAAGATGTGAGCCTTGACCAGATCTGCTTTTGAATACAAGGAAAAAATTCTTAACAGTGAGGATGACAGAGCAGTGGAATGGGTTGCCAGAGAGGTTGTGGAGTCTCCTTCTCTGGAGATCTTCAAAACCCGCTTGGACACAATCCTGTGTCACATGCTGTAGGTGACTCTGTGGAGAGGGGTTGGACTAGATGATCTCTAGAGGGCCCCTGTAGAATCCCTTAAGGATTCTATATTCTGTGAATAAACAATTTGTCCTTGGAAAGATCTCATCCTTTGGCAGTTCTCAGACAGTRTAGATTTCCACTGCAGAAAGCATAGTGACAGCTCCACAATGCAAAATGTCAGATTTTTATTTCCTTTATATCTATGGAGAGATTGCATGATGTAATGCTCTTGAAATGACTGGAGTTGGAAAAAGTAAAATAGTTTCATCCTAATAACTGTAATAACTGTTGAAGACAGAAATTCTGTCCATAATATTGTATGCATTCTGTTATTCAGCTTTCAGAAATTCCATAATTTCAGGAAAACTTGAAGGATTTATCTATCCTATAGACATAGTCCTCTTATAGGAAAGAAGACAGCAAGCATCTTCTGGGTTGATGCGAGTCTGATAACGTCTGAAAACCAAGCTTCATACTTCTCCAGCATCATCTGTAAACTTTACAGAAACAAATCATTATTTTTGTGATCTTTTATATRTGTGTGTGTGTGTGTGTGTATGTATTTATAGTTAAACTGAGCCTCAAGTGTTACAGCAAGCCACTCAGTTGGCCTGATGTTAAGCAATTGAGAGTGTTGCAATTCTGTCAGTGACATAAAACTCCAGTGAAACTGTCCCAAGTAAAGAGGAGAGATGCGCAGTAAGGAATGAACTTTAGTTTTCTCATTTTGCCCACCTTCAGGAAACTTTCCAAGACTATCTCCTCTCACCTCCTGAATTTATAAGTATATTACCGCTGCTTGAGAACTACTGTTTTGGTCAAAGATAGACCTTGTGGAGTTTAACTATATTTTGAGAAATCAATCTGCAGAAACTACTAAAATCAACTTTCTATAGAGAGTGTGACAACTCTTAGCACATAGCAAGCAAAACTTATGAATACCTTTAAGAAGAGTGGATGGAGGAGTCTGGTTGTAAGTTTGACACCATCCCTCACAGCATCCCCCTGGGCAAGCTCTGGAGATGTGGGATAGATGAGTGAATGGGGAGGTRGATTAGGAATTGGCTCSATGGCAGGGTGCAGAGAGCGGTGATCGATGGCGTGGAGTTGGAGGCCTGTAGTTAGCGGTGTCCCCCAGGGGTTGGTCCTCAGTCCGGTCCTGTCAATTTATTCATTATTGACCTGCATGAAGGGCTGGATGCTCCCTCAGCAAGTTTGCTTGATAGCCCTAAGGGCTGCACTGCCATCCAGAGGGACCTGGACAGACTGGAGGAATGGGCGGCGAGAAACCTCATGAGGTTCAACAGGGGCAAGTGCAGGGTCCTGCCCTTGGGGAGGAATAACCCTGGACACCAGTACAGATTAGAGGTGGACCTGCTCTAGAGCAGCCCCGCAGAGAGGGACCTGGACATCATGGTGGATGACAAGATGACCATGAGGCAGCAATGTGCCCTAGTGGCCAAGAAGGCCAACGGGATCCTGGGGTGCATTAAGAAAAGCGTCTCCAGCAGGTTGAGGGAGGTGATTGTCCCCCTGTACACAGCCTGAGGCTGAGGGGGGACCTGATCAGTGTGTATAAATACCTCAAGAGAGGCAGTGAGGAGGAGGGGCCGGCCTCTTTTCAGTGGTGGCCAGCGCCAGGACTAGAGGAAACG